AAACATATATATAGTGCAAATAGTAATGGTGCACTAACAAAATTTGCCACTTTTGGGTGCGTGAGTGACTCTCTGTAAACGCATGCAAGCCCAAGCCGTTGTAAAGAGGTCATGTGGGTGGGATTGGCGAAACGACACTCATTCCTTTCCTTTTTCTTTTCTTTAACTTTTAATCGCTTGTGTCGAGATCACTTGTACACTTACGTGTTTGATAATCCTTAATTCTGCAAAAACAATGTGCTTGGGATGACGAGGGCTCCTGTATGGGCCTAATTTTTTATTATTTGTAGCCACCCCCGTGATATTAAATGTGCGCCTACCTCCTATTAGGACAGAATTCAGATTGAATTGTATTCAAAAATAAAAAAGAAATATATAAGCTTAATTTTTTTTTTTTTTTAAATACAGTGAATTATATACGAAGATGTGGGTTTTATTTTTAAAATTTATATTCGTTTCTCTTTAAATATATCAGATTTTATTTACTTGAATCGACTTTTACTTACTCTATTTCAATTGGATTCAAGTGAATATTCATTGAAGGGATCTACAATGTGGGTGACTCAACTTTTATTACATAAAAAAAGAAGAAGAAGAAAAGTACGCTCAGTCTCATATTAAGGCAAGGTTCAAATTGGATTATATTGGAAAAAATAGAAATTATGTTTTTAGTTTTTAAAAATAGAGTGAATTAGATAAGCAGGTCGATTTTATTTTTAAAATCCAATGTATTAATTCTATTTCAAATCTGATTTTGAGTGAATATTCAATGAAACTGATAAAATTGTAGTTCCTATAATGTGGGCGATTCTGCCAAAGGCCGATTTCAAATTGAAATCGGATCAAAACTAATTGCAAATATAGAATTGAAATCAATTGGAAATGGCAGAACCGATTAAAAACAAGTGAGAACTGTGAACTGACTAGTTCAAGAAAAAAAGATTAAAAAAATTGGAATTCGCCAAAACTGAAAATGAATAAAAACAAACTGGAATAGAATCAATTCAGAATGAGTCAAGCCCGTATTATGCTTGGTTTTGCAAACTGAAACCGAGAATTCAATATTGGTAATTATGACAAAATTATATCATACTACCTATGTTCCATAATATTTGTCACATTTGAAAAAATAATTTGTTCCAAAATACTTGTCACATTTATGGTTTTAATGAGTAATAAATATTTTTTTCATCTTTACCCCTTATATATGACTAATAATTATTACTTCAATTTAATAGTTTTCTTAGAGAATTAGTATTAAATTAAGGGTAATATAGTCAATTTACTCAACCTCCCTTATAGTTCTTAGAGAAATTAGTATTAAATTAAGGTAATATAGTCATTTATGTCAATTTACTCAATAATTTATTGTAACTTAGACAAATCTAATGATTTTCTTAAGAAATGTGAAATTCTAAATGTGACAAGTATTATGAAACAGAGATAGTATATTTTAATGAGCTATGTATTACCTCCATTATGTTAATTTTGACACTCTTTAACCTTTTTTTTTTTTATTCTACTTAGTTGACGATCTTAAAAATTAACATAGCATTAATTATTTTATTTTGACTTAATCTGTGACATCCTGACCCGGCAAAGCGATCCTAAGAGGGTGGGTAGAGCGAAGCTCCTGGCTAGCTTCTAGGATAACAGGCTAGCTAGGATAATGGAATGCGGGATACAAGAATGAATCGAATCATATATCGAAAACAGGGAAACTAATTATTAGACGCGCCTTTTGGTGGAATGGCTGGAAAGTTGGAAGAACTCCAGGGTTAAGCGTGCTCGTTTAATGGAAATCTTAGGATGGGTGACCTCCTAGGAAGTTTCTCATTTCTTCTGCGGGACCAAATCGTGCCGGTCTTGCCAATTTTGTATAGGGGATTTGACTTGATCCAAAGCGGACAATTCCTCTGGTGATTAGAGTCGGGGCGTGACAGTTAGTATCAGAGCCGGACCCCCTCCAGTAGAATGGTCTCGAGGACGAACCATGCGGAAAACTGGTGGGCCTGTGACATCCCGACCGGCAAAGTGATCCTAAGAGGGCGGAGAGCGAAACTCCTGGCTAGCTTCTAGGATGGACAGGGACTAGCTAGGGTAGTGGAATGCGGGGAACACATGAATTGAATTCGAATCATATATCGAAAAGGGAGGAAACTAATCATTAGAGGCGCTTTTTGGTTTGGAATACGGAGGAGTTGGAAAACTCCTAGGTTTAAGCCGTGCTATTTAACGATCCTAGGATGGGTAACCGGACCTAGGATGGGTGGACCTCCTAGGAGTTTAGCATTTTACCTGGGGTCTTGCCAAGTTGGAAGAACTCTAGGGTTAAGCGTGCTCATTTAACGGAAATCCTAGGATGGGTAACGGAAATCCTAGGATGGGTGACCTCCTAGGAAGTTTAGCATTTTACCTGCGGGTCTTGCCAATCTTGTATGGAGGATTTGGCTTGATCCAAAGCAGACAATTCCTCTGATGATTAAAGTCGGGGCGTGACATAATCAATTATCTTCATTTACAATAAAGAAAGAGACTTTTTGGAGTTATAGCAATTAATATTCGTAATTTGCAAAGGATAAAATTAAAAAAATTTTATTATTTCTAAAATTCACAAGCATGACACTTATTTCTCAACGAAGGGAGTGAGTAATATTATTTTGATATTCTAAAAACATGTTATTTAAATAAAAAAAATAAAAATTATTAAATTTAACGAAGTAAGGGAATAATGTTTAATTGATGAAAATTAACAAAAAAAAAGGATAAAATTAAGAAAGAAAATATAAATGACATTAATTTTCTAAAATGATAAATGAAGTGGGAAAAAAAAAAAATAAAACGACACGTGAAATGGGGCAGAGAGAATTGAATAGTATTATTAGGTGAATTAGGTTGGTTGTTGACCTAATTATAATTGTGCCTTCTAAATTACGATTGTGTGATATTGATACTTATAGCAATTTGGTCATTTCCTCTCAACCTCTAATGGCTTCTCATGAGTCTGAATTTCTTTTTAGAAACCCCAAAGATATATATAATGGCATGAATAAGGATAAAAGCTTCCTGACTAAATTTTTATATATATGTGAATTTCATAATTTGAAGTTATATTCTTTATATTTGACATGAATAAAATATATCCATTTTTGCTCTTAAGAATTAAATTTTTTATGAATTTAATGTGAATGGATCAATTTCTATCATTTATAGTAATTTTAAACAGGGGATTTGATTGTATTAACAAATTCTTTTTGTGGGCTTTCTCAATCAAATTATACAACTACTTACAAATTTGAAGTGCTTTATGAATTTGTTGCCTTTTAAACTTGAATTTAATCACATTATTGTTGGAAATAGTGCTCACTGGAAGCAGGAGTGAGCAAACAGTCAATTCGGTTTAATCCAAACTGAATCAAAGATAAAAATACAAATTGAGATTTTTGATGATAGACCGAACCGATTCCAATTAAACCAATCAGTTCTATCGGTTTTAGTTGATTACTGTATGGATTCAGTTTTAAATATGAAATCAAATTGAACAAAATATTCGGTTCAAACCAACAAACTAAACTTCTTGAATAGCTGACAGAACCAAAATGGATCAATTTGGTTTTTGGTTTGGTTGAGCCGGTGGGAGTGTTACATTCTTGCATTCTTCCTATGTTTTAGCAATCTAATTAATAATGTCGAGAAGTCATTTCGATCCGTTAATTAGGAATTAGTTGATATGGGAATTAGTTGAGCTTATTTAGTGTTTCTTTTTCACAAGCATTTGACTAATACCTGCTGATTAAGTTTTGGTCACCTAATTTTGTGACATGTATGGAAATAAATTGTTTGATCAGCTCAATCCAATTGTCTGACTTTATGATTAATCAATTAATCCAAAAATGGTGAAATACATAAAATCCATCCCTACACTTTTCGTAGATAAATATTGTGGCACCTTGGATTTTGTGGCAGATCTATAATATCTATAAAATTAAGAACTTTGATAATATTACACATTTTTATATTTTAAAAGTAATAATTTTTAGAGTTCTTTGCTTTTATATAGAAAATATTAATTTGATACGTGATTAGTATAACTTTTCAAGTAATAATTTTCACATTTTTTTAACTATCCAGTAAGTGTCTAGTCGATTTAAATTATACAAATTAAAGTGTTTAATGGGTGCATATTTTATAATTGAAGTATTGAATAAGTCAAAATAAAATTGAGGATATCTTAAATTTTTCATGAAAAATGCATGAATAAATTTATATATTTCACCTTTCAAAATCAATTCTATGAAAAAAATAAAGAGACCAACATTGGCCGGAATGGAGTGGTTGTGACTCATTCCCTCTTAACCAAAAAGGTCTGGAGTTCAAGTATTGAATACGGAAATTGTCACGTTGGAAGAGTCACCCCTTATGTGAGCTGCAGTACTTGAGCCAGACACAGAACCCATTGGACTTTTAGATACCGGTAGTTATAGGCTAAAAATGTCAATTTTTTGTTTCGAGAATGATGTTAATACTTATATATCTACTCATTTTCTGGCATGTATCCCAGTATTTTTTATAAAAAAAATATTATGGCACTTCAAATTGATCAATTATATTTTGAATTAATACTTATATATTCATTACTTTTCTGGTATTTATCGGATGTGAGATTTTTCTAGGGTTAACTAATACTTAACCGGGTGCGAATGTTACAATATATTTCATAATACAAATTACACAATTTATTTAATTATATTGAATTCCGTAAATTTAAATTTTAAGATGGAAATGGACATTTTCATTTACACCAAATATGAATGCATAAAATTTTAAATAAATTCTGCAAAATTTATGAAATTTATTTATACAAATATAAACCCTTTCTCAAAATTAGGAATCAAAGTTATTAGGATTTGAAAGGATGACCTGCTGCATTAGAGAAAATCCTTTGATTCAATAACATTTGAATTGTTATATGACTTCATTAAACCACTCCAAAACATATATTTATCACCACTTCTCTTAATCCATTTCAAAATTTCAGTAGGCATGTTGAACAGACAGAGTTATTAAGAACCTCAAACAGCATTTGACTACTTGTTTGCCTTTTGATTTACCAGAAGCAGAAGAAGAATTAGTAGCAGGCTATCAAACTTGTAAGAAATGACATATTATTCGCAGAAATTGATGCAATTAGTCACATTTTGCATCATGTTTCTGCATAAAAATTATCAACAACAGTTTTAACAATCAAAGGTATTCTTACTACATGGAACCCATCTTCCCAAAATAAGTTTCCAAATGAGTATCTTCCTTGAACCCTTAACAGTGAACAGAAGGTTACCTTGAACTTGAGCTTCTTTACAGAAGAATTAAATGACAAAATTGATGGCTCAACTCTCGCATAAGTCCCGGCTGGAGCTTGAACACGTGAGAAGTAGACAGACATGGCAGGACCAACATTTGTGACAGTTCTTGATACAGTTAACCTGTTCTTAAGCTCAGGAATGGTGATAGATGGCAAATTAAGATTGACAAGGAAGCTAGTCGATTTGTGGCATACAGTTCGAGTTCTAGTCATTAAGCTGATTGCGGAGTTATTATAGCCCAGAGAACAAAGGAAATGGATGTAATTTGAAATGCTAATGTCATATATAAGACCAGGATCTAAGGCTTTGTTTGGATCGACATGACCACCTCCATAATCAAATGGATCAGCTTGCTTGTGAGGACCTCCCTCAGCAACAATTTTTTGACCATATTCATCTTCTATAGAAGCTGCACAACAAGATAGAGCGTTAGTAATATGCAAACCAGTAATCGGAGTAAACAAATTTGGTCTGTTACCTGTTGTTACTAATGCAGACTTTATTGCAGCTGGGCTCCATGTTGGATGAGTAGCTTTAAGAAGAGCCACAATACCAGAAATGTGAGGGCAAGCCATGGATGTTCCCGATTCGAATTTGAAGTTCAGTGAAGTCAACTTATTTTTTGTGATATCAAACGATAGAGGTGAAGCAACAGGTGACCAAGATGCCAAGATATTGACCCCAGGAGCAGCAATGTCAGGCTGCAAAAAAATGATATTTTGTTAAACTGAAAGACCACAAAAAGACAAGAAGAAAATTATTACCTTTAAGACAACGGGAGAGAGGGAACTAGGTCCTCGAGAAGAGAAGAATGCAATCTCCGGTGATATCTCTTGCCCAATAACTGTTTTTGTGAAGCTAAACTTGACTCTAGGATTTCTGTCTCATGAAAAGTTTCATTAGAGGCGTACATAGACCATTCCATTGCTTAGGAAAATTAAATTAAATGCATGTTGATCATGTTTAATGTGACATTGAATAACAGTGGACATAGTTTTTGGTTGCTATTGTTAAGTTCTATTCTCAATGTAACTTCTTTCGATGTAAAGATTACCTGCTTGACTCCATGTATGAGAGAAGATATGTTCCAATTGCAAAGTCCACATGGATGCATGGGATATCAAAACATAAAATGACATCCTTATTAGGAAACTGTGCAAAGATAAGACCAGCACCCTGAACCTCGGAGACAGTCCTTGTAGCGACAGTAGCTGACCTGACTGATCGAGATTGAAAACATAGAATTACTTTCCCTCTTGCTAAAGTGGCATTCAAGGTTCCAGTTTCACAATTTCTGTTAAAGCAAACACTATCAGAATGCGCATTTGCTTATAAGAGTCAGAGATTATCTTCTACATTTTTATATTAACAGAAGGCACAAAAATATACCTTGCACTTTCTTCAAATGCACCTGCAACTGCTATGTCTTCTCCATTCACAACAGGGTAAAACTTGTCTGCATTTTTCCCTGTATACAAAGCCTGACCCTGTTTGAGAAGAAAAAATTCATTTCTTGGTGTTTGAGACATAATGTTATAACTAATAGATATGTCATTTACTTAAAAAGGATGTTAATGAAAATTAACTGAAAGTTTCAATAATCATTATATCCTCCCATTTTGATCCTAAACCATTGAGTTTGAACAACTCATATTTTCTTCAGAACATATGATATTTGGCATTTCTTAAAGCAAGAAACTGCTTTTAATCATGTCTCAATCAGAATAAAAATTCTATAACAGGAATCTTTAAGGGCACAAAGATTGAAATGGAAAAAAAAAAAAAAAAAAAAAAAAAAAAAAAAAAAAAAAATAATCATGTCTCAATCAGAATAAAAAATTCTATAACAGGAATCTTTAAGGGCACAAAGATTGAAAATGGAAAGAAAAAAAAAAAAAAAAAAAAAAAAAAAAAAGAAAAGTATGCCCTTGGTTTGGAAAAACAGATTAAGAGTATATCTTGTGAACTAATTGGCTATTCAACTTTCAACACAAAAAAAAAAAAAAAAAAAAAAAAAAAAAAAAAAGAAAAAGTATGCCCTTGGTTGTGAAACAGATAGAGTATATACTTGTGAACTAAATTGGCATATTCAACTTTCAAGCACACTATGAGTTCTGATTCTCTGATAGAAATTGTAAGTGTCTTAACCATAATAACCAAATAGAAGGATATGACCCTTAGCAAATGAGAGTTAAAAAACACTGATGTGGATGATGACTCTCAAATCATAACATGTTACAGAATGAGCAATTATTGAACTAAGGAAAGTGGCTCACTTTTAATTCAGCCATCGATGCTCATAAATTTTAGAAACAGTAATCAACTATCAAGTAGGTTGGCTTGGTACACTTGGAATCACTTCCAATTGGATATTGCATTTGACTACTATACCTACCTCAAGAACCAACCTTAAACAAATAACAAAGTAACTAGTTGCATGTTATAGGTGTTTGCAAGAAAAGTATTGTAACTCTAGTCATCCTTGGTGAATTCTTTTCATTACTATCATGGTTCATAGACAGGAACAGTTGTGCCATGGAAATCCTTTCCCATCCATGCATTTATTTGTTCTATTTACAATCAATATCTATACACATTGTGGTAAAGATGTCAATCTCCATGCTCATATAATGCAACTATGAACATAGCAAAAGTTGTCATGGCTGAAAAGAAATATAAATAGTGATTACCACCACAGTTTGATTATTCCCTAAGGTAATCCTTGTAGGAAAAGCTCGATCAATCGTACTTGCTGCAACAGTAGTAACCCATGGAGCAGTGTTTATGACAGTTTGATGATAAGGACCGGAATTCCCTGCAGAGCAAACTACAGAAATTCCTTTAGTTACAGCATGAAAGGAACCTATAGCCACTGGATCTTCGACATAAGTTGCTAGAGGAGGTGTTGAGCCGATAGATACAGAAAGCACATCAACACCATCTAGGACTGCATCATCGAATGCAGCAAGAATATCAGCAGAGCTGCAGCCACCATTAGCCCAACAAACTTTATATATAGCAAGCCAAGCTGATGGGGCACCCCCTCTTGCTAATCCTTGAGCTAGTCCCATAAAACTTGCATTTTCCACTATAACACCAGCTGCAGTGGATGAGGTATGAGTTCCATGGCCTCTAGCGTCTCGAGGAGACAAGTATTCAAGCACATCACTTGTGTCTAGCTTTCCAATTTCAGCTTCATAACCCTTGATATACCAACGTGCACCAATAATTTTCCTGTCCCAAAGTATCATAGAAGTAACTGTAAAGAGTTAGTTTTTAAGTTCACTGAAGAGGATCCAGTGCAGTAGTAAACATACTTTCTATGCTTAGGCAACATTGGATGTTAGAATTTGGTTACATATCACCATTCTGCAAATTTAAATTCAATAATTGTTTTTTTTCATAATGCCATATATATCGCACAAGATCCTGTTAAAGTAAGGGAAACCTCAACTGCACTAAGATTTGTAACCAAAAGAATAAGTATAAAACAATTAGTAGGTACTCTAGGTAGTAAGCCATAAAAACATAGATTCATTATGCAATGAGAAACTTTGACTCTCTAGTCCCCACCAAACAAGTAAAGATGCATAGAATCTGCAGTTTTAACATGTATCCTGCTACACTCTTCAAGTCAATGCCAAATCAGTTTACGGGACATTGAAGCATATAATAGAGCATAATTGGCCAAACCTATTGCAATGAGAATGATTAAATCCTTCTCCTTCCTGACATATCCCTTTCCAGCGTGATGGCACCTCTCCTATGCCCTCATCTGTGAAGCTTTTTGACTCTGGCCATATACCTACACCCAGAGTAGTTAAGAAATGGGAGAAAAAGAAAAGAGATTACAGAGTCAAGAAAATTGTTAAAACAAGAAATCTAACAGCATCCCCACCAACCAGTATCCATAACACCAATGATGGACCCAACCCCAGAATGACTCTTTGAAAGGAGTCCATCATCAAGATAAGGCTTTACTTGCAGGAAATCCCAACTTCTAGTTGTCTGAGGTCTAATAATTTTATTTCGAATTACACTGACAACTCCTGGAAATTCTGCACCAGTACATTATTATACAGAACATTAATAAAGAAATAGTTACAAGTTAAAATTTATATTGGGAAAATGAGTTCACAGTTCGACAATATTATAACACCTGCAATAACCTTTGCTTGTGACTTGGTTAAAACTGCTGCAAATCCTGAAAATCCATGCTTGTAGTTGTACAGAATTGATTCTTTTGCAGCTTCTTCACTGTCAAAATCCAAAATGACAGGATGTTGCTATCCATGGAAATATGTTTGAAATTGCTAAAATCTAACTGTAATAGAACAGTAAATTGAATCAAGCTCAACCAGAGCAAGGCGAAACCTTTTCCTCGCTAACAGCCGCATCGGGAGGGAATACATTCAGACTTGACCGTTCTAAAATTGCTAATCCTACATTGCATGCAATAGTGCCCATATATATTTTTTTTTTTTCACAACCACTACAATCACCTGATTCGTCCAGCATAACTTTGTATTCATATCCACCTATATGTTACAACTTAGAATCTCAAGATTCATTTATATATTAAGTTATTTACCTGAAAATTGAAAAACCAAGGTAATAGTACACACTACACAATTATAAGCTAATAGAGATTCATTTAAAACAGAAGGCTAATAATAGGCCGAAACAAATTGTGATAAATCCTTTTTTTTTTTTTTTTCAAAAGAAAAGATAAGGCAATGTCCATAATCCGTAAAGAAAAAGAAAGACTAGTAACCTTCCAATAATATATGAGAGAAATTCATGGTGGGACTCCTGAACCAGCTTAGGCTCATCATGGAGTCTGTCTCCCATATATACAATATAAACCTGCAAATATAGAATTCCAATAACAAACCTTAATAAATTCAAATATAAATTAAGAAGCAAAACAAAACTCAAGGATTTAAGGAAAACCCACATATCTTTCAGCAAGAATTTCAAGGGACCAAGCCTGAAGTAGAGCAAGAACAATGCCAAAGCTCCAAAGAGAAGCCATTAGAGTGGAAACAAGAAAACTTTGAAAACCAAAAAAGAACAGTGCGATTTATATATAGTGAAATGGGGTCAAGTGAATCCACTGAGTGGGACGTGGGGGCCATAGCAAATACACGAACTTATTCACTATTACTAGCATTATTGGACAAGTGACTCTGCAAATAAATTTGAAGGCATAGGATTTGTCAATGAGGTCTTTTCATGGAGCAAACATGCATAAGAGGCTCATAAAATGGTTGACTTTGAATACCAGTAAACGATAACGGGACAGTATCTAGCGATAAGCGAAGATGGCATATCCTTTTCACCTGTGGGAAGTTGGGGACTCCACTCTATCGGTGCTCTCTCTATACATTTTCTTGTTTCTTCTTCTGGAGAAATACTGTGTACTTTTTCATTAACTTGCTCGTTAGGTTCTTGAGAACTATAAAGACAAAGATGGGTGCATTACCATTCATATTATTTTTTTTGAAAAAGTTATATAGTATTACACACATTTTAATATTATACACCAAGATATAAATAAGTAATTTCCAATATTCAAAAGAAACTGTATTTTAATATTAATCTCTTTTAAATATTCATATATAATATTAAAATGTGTATATTTGATATTTTTCATATTAAATTTTCAACATTATTTATATTTAAGATTATTTAAAACAAGCAGCATTGTCAAATTTAATTGATAAAAGATACACAAACGAAAATCAATATCTAAATTCTCCGACCAAATAAAATTAAGTAATATATTTTTATTTAATAACAAAAAAAAAAAAAATACTAAATCCTTATAATGAAAGAGAGCAAACCCTCAAGAAACACTACAAGTATGAGACAAGTAACAATAAAAAAAAAAAAAAGGAGGATAATATCTGCAAAAAAAAAAAAAAAAGGAGATGATATATCTGAATTTACTAAAAGCAAGTAAAAGATTAAAAGAAATAACAAAGACCGAATCTCATTTACTCATATCAATCAAGATTCCGTCAATTCCATTACAAAGTGCTTCAAAATATCATAACTAGTATTTAGTTGATGAAGGATGCATGCTTAAAAATTAAAATTACTTGGCCAATAGGTGGTATTTTGATTGGTCTTCTCACTTATGTGAGGAGTAAGAGATTTTAATTTGAGGTCTTTCGACTACAATTGTTTTCACTAATTTGATAAATCAAGAGGAAAACTACCCACTATTGTGTAGCCCGCCATATTATCACGCCCATATAAGCATCTAATGAATTAAAAAAATTAAAATCGAGAGGATTTAGTCTTAATTATTAAAAATCATTTATTAATAATTTATATTAATATGTAAAATAATAGATAATACATTCTTACAATAATTTTCTTTAATTACTTAAATTTCAAATTGCATACAAATCGAAAATCCTTTTTTTTTTTTTTGGTTTTTGGGGTTTTTTAGTATTGGGAGGAGGGGAAATTGAAATCTTGGATCTATTATCAGGTCATATGTTTGCAATTTAACCATTAAATTTATATCTTGATTGTGCTACTATATCCCATTTTAAGTTCAGGTCAAGTATACACAAAAATAATAATTGTGTAGAAGAATTGAAGAAAGAAGAGGACTATACTTTATATTTCTCTGTCTAATCCTACTTTCCGTCCATTGAAACCTAACTGCAAATCAATCATATCCCATATCAATTTTGAGGAAGCCAAAATACAAAAATTGAAATGTGTTTTCACTAAGAATGTATACAATATATTCCCTCTGTTCTAATATGAGTTATCCAATTAATTTATTTATACACATTTATTAGTTAATTACTTTAAATTATTCTTTATTAACTCATTGTCTTTCGTGACATGAACTTAAGCAGGACTATATTAAAAATATTATCTTATTATTCAATTAATCTTCATTAAGTTTTTTTTTTTTTTTTGGTTTTTAAGTATTGGGAGAGGGGATTGAAACTTGGATCTATTATCAGGTCATATGTGCATTTACCATTAATTTATATCTTGATGTGCTACAAATCCCATTAAGTTCAGGTCAAGTATAAAAAGTAATAATTTGTGTAGAAGAATTGAAAAAGAAAGAGAGAGGACTATACTTTTTCTCTGTCTTAATCCTACTTTCCGTCCATTTGAACCTAACTTGCAAATCACATTCCATCATTTTGAGGAGGAAATACAAAAATTGAAATGTGTTTTACTAAGAATGATACAATATATTCCCTCTGTTCTAAAATATAGTTCAATTATTTTTTTACATTATAGTTAATACTTAAATTATCTATTATACCCTTATTAAAAATTTTATCTTATTTTCAATAATCTTCATTAGTTTTTACTTATTATTCAAATATAATAAATGCTCGTGTGTTATTTAAGATGGCATAATAGAAAAATTATATTAATAAAATTATCTTTTAACTATATTTCTTAACTGTATAAAAATATATTATCTTTTTGGGACGGAGGTATCTTCGCATAAAAATTTTCAAAAGTTAATAAATTCAGCCAACAAAAAAAAGCAAAGCATAAGAGAGGTAATGGGTTAATGGAATGACCTCTTCAGAAAATTATTTCTTTAAAAGCTATTTTGCTCTCATAGAATATAGAGGACCACCAATATCTTTTAGTTGCACCAAGAAATTAAAAGGAAATACTGTTACCTTTAGTTTAGGTTACAAAAAGTTTATTCTAATATCATTAGTAAGACTATTTTAAACTCTTTAGTATGTTAGAATACCCGAACTTTACAGGATTTTACAATTTCACTCTGTTTCAATTTTGTTTTTCAATTTTGACCTTACTATAAAATTGAAAATGACATTACTATAAAATTATATTCACTCAAATATCATTTTTCTAAATTTATAAATGTGTCACTCACCATATGTGAATATAATTTGATATTCAAATGATATTTAAAATTTATTTTTATTATTAATTTTTTTAAATGACGGAAATAATCTTTTGTTTACCTATCCTAAGGGAGCGAATACACACAAAATTTGCAATATTAATACCCAAACTCATTTAAATATTTCAATACCATATGCATCCCAAAAACCCATTTAAAATTCTTTTTCAAATACTCATACGCACACTTGTTCAAAAATTTAATATTAGCATCAGTTCCATATCCATTTAACTAACGTTCAAATCTGCTTTAAATAGATTGGTGTGGGTAAGATACCCACGAAAGTCCACCCTGCTTGTATATACAGTACCGTCCACCCTGCTTGTATATACAGTAGTACCTCACCAAATCCATTATAGTTGATGTTGGTTGAGCTTTGGAAGACGGGGATGAAAATAAATGGTGGACTAGAAAAGGAAAAGTACAAGTAATGGATAATTCTAAAATTTTAGTCATTTGATATTTTATTAAGTAATTAATTTTTTTAGTATTTAATGATATTAGGGCTTAGAGTTTTGAGCTTGGGTTTAATTTATTTTAATTTTTAAAAAATATTGAGCGCTATATGCACATTAATTTTCACTTGAATATTATTATATTAAAAATTTTAAATTATATAAAGGGTTTTGGTGGATACTCACCGCTTTAGATCAATACTCAATCCAAACTGAAAGTGGTTATATCTGTTCTAAACCCATTTAATCAATATTCAAACTTGCTTTAAACGGGTTTTTACGGATTTGCCACCTGCGCTTCCATACCTCACCTATCCTTAATCCCAATTGAAGATGCCATTATTATGCAAGTTTTGAAATTACAATAAGTTTAACCATCAAAATACAGTGAAATTGCAAAAATTATCCAAACTCCAAATATTTTTATACACTGAGCCTACGAAGACTTTAAGACTCTTAAATAATAAATTAGAAATAGTTTAAACGGAGCAAGAAATATGAAGTGCGCTTATATGATAATAATCCACGAAATGTTAAAATTATTTGATATGAATAAATTTCATAAAATTTTATATTTTATTATTTAGTATAAAAGTAAGTTATATTTATTTTACTCTTATAAAATCAAATTTTATAAAATTTAAAAGAAATAAACTTTCGTTTATCATTCAAGTTTATTTACTAATTAATAAGAGGTGTATTTATATTTTACTAGATTAAAAAACAATTACTATGTTTTATTATCGACCAATCACATCATTGGTACTGAAACATACATTATATGCTTCTACTGTGTTCTGAAAGACAGTGGATGACATGGTCATTTTCGGTTGTCCACCAACTGCCCCAATATAAATTTTCTTTGTTGTTTGATTGCATTTTCCAAAATCTAATCTGTGGAGCAACAAAATCTTTCAATTTCTTATTATATCAGCAACTATTGCGAGGGATCAATTGCAATCGAGAAAGCTGAGATATAATATTTTTTAAGTGGTTGATCGATCATGTTAAACTACAATGAAATTTATAATATTTAGGAACACTAAGACCATTGTTTTTTCTGAAATAAGCAAAATATATAAATTTAACATTTCATTTTAACCATTTATTTTTTAAATTTTCCTTTTAATAAATTTTAAGCACAAATTGTTAAATTATTAATGAATTATATAATAAGTACTAATCATAATAAATTAAAAGAAAGTGATAACGAAATTATATATTTATGATATATAGTATCCATGATGGCTTTTTGTTTTAAATACCAAAGTAAAGGATAAAAATTACAAACATTAATTAGGATGTAATAGGTGAAATTAATATAGATTTGCTAATAGTTCAAGAATATACTTTATGCTTTCAACCTTTTAATAATTAAAAACAAAACAAAAACCCTAATTGCATTTTCAACCGTATATAAATGAAATGTCACTCATTTAGAAGTGGGTACTTAAAAGATGTATCTCTCATTTCTCATTTAATGTTAGCACATTTGCTTTTGATTCAAAAGGAGAGGGAAAAGAAAAGGGCAAAGATGTAAAAAGCAACAAAATTAGAGATGTTCACAAACTTCCATTAGACGATTAGAAAAATCACTTAAAATTCAAGAATTGAACATTATTGATGATATATACAGTTTAAATAAAGATTTGATATAAAACTCAAGTTTTTTTTTTTAAAAAAAAAGAAAAAAAAAACTTCTTTGAATATGTTATTATAATTAAACTCACTTTTGAATAATGTCTAAAATATGTGATTTAACTTCAACTTTCATAAAAAAATATTTAGGTACTTGTATTCAAATCCGTTTAAAGTTTTACTACTCCTATTTGTACCAAATCCATTTAAAATATACCTTAAATGGTTAGAGTATTTATAAATTTTAAACAATTCAAATCCGAACTTTTTCAAAATACATATTTTACTAATAATGGATAGATACATGCGGATACAAATTT